AGATTTAGGATGCGAAGAATTTTTTCAGGGATATTTAGCACGAGGTTATAGTTTGGGCTCTATCTACTATGATGTGATAGTTTTCTTGGGAAAATAAACCGTTTTCCCATATTTTTAGTTTAAAACTTTTTGGAGCCAACTTTTATTTGGAGGCGGGCGACCAAATATTTTCACGAAGATACTATTGTAACAGTTCTTTTTTTCTTTATTTTTCGCCAAAAATGTTATAGCGGTTCTCGATTTAGAAACGCAATAAAAAGTTAAAGGTAAGTCAAATATAGCAAAACCACATAAACTGCTATCTTATAATGCTATTAATACTCAAGATTGTTGTAGCTAGTAGAAAGTTATCATGGAAACGTGAGTAGAACCAAAAATCAAGGATGCATCAGGAACATAAATTGCTAAGCCGAAGAAAAACTAGTCTCAGGAAGAGTTGAAGAAATCAAAGTTTAACGTCAGGGCTCTCATCGCTATATTCACTATAGTGTAGAAATGAAGCCATTTGAATTGATCACGGATGTGAAACTGCCAAATAAACAATCATGCATGGAACCGTAATTGTCCGTTCTCAGTTCTCACAAACTCATGCACTGACACCACATCCGATTACGTTTAAATCAGCCAAACCATAAGTATAGTAATTAATGTGATTTTCTTTGATTGGATTTGGAATGGCTTTACTAAAGTAAACTAAAAATTTACCTTTCAAGGAGATGCTGGATACTTGTGATATGGCTGAGTTACCAAGTAAAGGAAATCCCTTTACTTGGGGTGGCAAGAGAGGAACATTATGGATTCAAAGCAAACTTGATCGTTGTTTTGGTAATAAAAACTGGTTTAGACAATTTCCTTTGTCTAATCAGTTTTTTATGGATAAAAGAGGCTCAGATCATCGTCTTGTTCATATCAGGATTTCGTCAACTAGAGTGGAGTATAGGGGCAACTTCAGGTTTGACAAGAGACTCTTTAATCAGCCCAATGTTAAAGAGTCAATTCTACATGCTTGGAATGGGAATGGTAATCATCAGAATGTTCCACTGTTGACTATGGAGAAACTCAAAAGATGCAGAACTGCCCTTAGTAGATGGAAAAAGGAAAATAACTTGAACTCTCTGACTAAGATCACGCAGGCGCGAGCTGCCCTGGAGTTAGAACAATCATCTACTTTCCCGAGAACAATCGTGATGAACTCTCTGAAAGATGATCTGTGCAAAGCCAACCTAGAGGAAGAAATCTTTTGGAGTCAAAAAAGCAGAGCCAAATGGATGCATAGTGGAGATAAGAATACTTCCTTTTTCCATGCTTCTGTGAAGGACAATAGAGGGAAACAGCATCTTGAGAAACTTTGTGATATTAATGGAAATTTGCACAAAGATGAAGAGTCTAAAGGAGCCATTGCTGTTGCTTACTTCTCTGACCTGTTTAAGTCTGAGAATCATGATTCTTTCCAGGATCTGTTTTCTGATTTTCAGGCCAAAGTTACACCTGGTATGAACTCTGTTCTTGTTGCTTCAGTTTCAAAATCTGAAATCAGAGATGCGGTTTTTGCAATAAAAAGTTCAAGTGCTCCTGGTGCCGACGGTTTCACGGGTTTTTTCTTTCAGAAGTATTGGAGTATCATTGGAAATCAGGTAACTTCGGAGATTCAACAGTTCTTCATCACTGGTTCTTTTCCTAGAGAGTGGAACTTCACCCAGTTATGTCTCTTACCAAAGAAGAAGAAACCTGACAAAATGACGGATTTGCGTCCTATCAGTCTATGCTCAGTTCTTTATAAGATTATTTCAAAGATTCTAATTAGGCGGCTGTAACCTTTTCTTCCTGATTAGGTGTCCCCTAATCAGTCTGCTTTTGTGGCTGAACGTTTAATCTCTGATAACATTCTCATTGCCCACGAGGTGGTTCATGGACTGCGCACTCATAAGGAAATTTCTAAGGAGTACATTGCTATTAAGTCAAACATGTTAAAGGCCTTTGATAGAGTTGAATGGAACTATGTTAGAGCTTTGCTGGAAGCACTAGGGTTTCATTCTAAATGGATTCAATGGATTATGTTTGCTATTACTTCTGTCTCCTTCACTGTCTTGATCAATAACAAGGCTTATGGGAACATCACTCCTTCCAGAGGGTTGAGACAAGGGGATCCTTTGTCTCCTTTTTTGTTTGTGTTGTGCTCCGAAGGATTCACTCACCTTATGAACAGAGCAGAGAGACAGGGACTCATTAGTGGAATCCGGTTTTCTCAGGATGGTCCAGCTATACACCATCTATTGTTTGCAGACGACAGCCTCTTTATGTGCAAAGTGGAGAAAGAGGAGATTCTAACTTTAAAAGGCATTTTCAAGGAGTATGGTGATGCAACAGGGCAAAAAATCAATTTTGACAAATCTTCAATCACTTTTGGTGCTAAGGTTGAAGAGAGTTGTAAAGATTGGATTAAATCTGAGCTAGGCATATTGAATGAAGGAGGAGCTAGTACTTACCTTGGTCTTCCGGAGTGTTTTTGTGGGTCTAAAATTCAGCTCTTAGATTACATAAAGGATAGACTAAAGGCTAGACTCTCAGGATGGTTTGCAAGGACTTTGTCTATGGGAGGAAAAGAGATTCTTTTGAAAGCGGTTGCAATGGCCCTCCCGGTTTATGCGATGTCATGTTTCAAACTCACAAAAACCACTTGTGACAACTTGACAAGTGCAATGTCAGCCTTTTGGTGGGACTCTTTTGAGCATAAAAGGAAAACTCATTGGGTTAGTTGGGAGAAACTATGCCTAGCTAAAGATCAAGGAGGTTTGGGATTCAAAGATATTCAAAGTTTTAACCAAGCCTTATTAGCAAAACAGGCTTGGCGTTTATTACAGAATCCAAACTGCCTCTTTGCTAGATTCTTCAAGAGCAGATATTTTGATGGGGAGGACTTCTTGGAAGCTGAAATTGGAGCCAGGCCTTCTTATGCTTGGAGGAGCATTATACACGGAAGAGAACTGCTTTTGGAAGGTCTAAGGAAAGAAGTGGGTAATGGTAATTCTCTTAGTGTTTGGATGGATCCTTGGCTCTTTGACCAAGATCATGGTCCAAGAACTCCTCTCATGAAACACTTCTCTGTTAATTTGAGTTTAAAAGTTAAAGATCTCATTGACTTTGATTCCAGAAGATGGAATAGGGAGGTGCTCGACGACTTATTCTATCTGTGGATGTTGAGATCATCATAAAGAAGAATCCAGTAGTGAACATGGAAGATTTTTGGGTATGGCTGCACTCAAAGTCAGGTGAATACTCTGTTAAGACAGGTTACTGGTTAGCTTTTAGGGATAACAAATCTGATCTTATCAGAAATGCGACCTCTCAGCCATCTCTTAATGGTCTCAAGGAAAAAGTTTGGTCCATCCTTGCAGCTCCAAAGATTAAACTGTTCTTATGGCGTGCTTTGTGTGCTGCTTTGCCAGTAGCTGATCAGATTATTCATAGAGGTATGAGAAGTGATCCAAGGTGTCAGATTTGCGGAGAAGAAGGAGAATCCATAAATCATGTACTCTTTACATGCTCTGTGGCACGTCAGCTATGGGCTATTTCTGGTGTCCCAACTCCAGAATTTGGCTTTGGTAGGAGTGCTATTTTTGCTAATATGCAGTTCTTATTTGAGCTTCAAAAGAATTTTCTGGTTCCTGCTCAAATAAGAAGGTTGTGGCCTTGGGTCCTGTGGAGACTGTGGAAAAATAGAAACAAGTTATGCTATGAGGGTACATTGTTCTGTCCTGCAAAATCCTTTGAAAAGATCAAGGAAGATGCGCATGAATGGTCTATTGCGCAATCACATATTAATTCCACAGAAACTCATAGTATTGGTCGTAATGCATCTGGTTCAGTACCTTGTGATGTCCCTGTTTCTTCTCCATGGCAGCCGCCTCCTCCAGGTTGGGTTAAATGCAACATTGGGGCTGCTTGGTCGGGGAAAAAATGTCTTGCTGGGAGTGCTTGGGTCTTGCGTAATGAACATGGGGTTGTGTTGCTACATAGTAGGCGGGCTCTTTGTGATGTTACTAACAGAAGTGAGGCGATACTGAAAAGTGTCATTTGGGCTATTGAATGTTTGCATAGTCACAAGATGTCTAGGGTTCTGTTTGCTTTTGAACCAGGAGATCTGTTATCGGCATTCAACAGACCAAATGCTTGGCCTTCTTTTAGGTATCAAGTCTATGAATTACTTCATTTTTTGGGTAAGATTGTAGTTTGGAATGTTTTGGAAGAGAAGATTCCGGCAAACAGAGGAGCTTCGCTAATTGCTCAAAGTGTTGTGAAGGAGGACAGAGTTCAATCTTATGTTGCTTCAGGGCATCCTCGTTGGTTACATCATCTTTTTGAGGAAGAAAGAATCGGAAGTGTGGTTTCATCTTCTACTCTCCTTTGATCAAACTCCAAAATCAATTTTTGGTGATTGGTATATGTGTATACCTTTCTTTATGGTAATCTGTTATTTTGTTAAGGCTCTGAAACAGTTCTAATCTAAATATAATCCATTTTCAGTGAAAAAAAAAAAAAAAAAAAAGTAAACTAAAAATTTTGCATGTGTCCGGTCGGTTTAGGTTTGATTTGTCCAATAATGCAAAATTCTGAACAGTACCACATTTTTTTTTTGGTGGTAAAAGGTTAAATTTATTTTTTTATTTTTTTTGAACATAAGTACCACGTATTTCTTGTTTGGTTTTGTTAACTGCGGATTAGTCTGGATGTATTAGTACAATCTATTACAGATCCCAGTTCTTTTGTGGGTGACTGTCTCAATTCCATTTTCTTTATTTCATTCTTCATTTTCCTTTGCCGTTTCTTAAAAATTGTTGTTGGACAAAGAAAAAAAAACCCATCAAATTTGGTGAAATGATGCAATAACGTCTTGAACAAATCATATATGATAAATGACGATACAATATGATAGGTGATATTGAAAGACATCCAAAAATTATGATTTAATGAATCATCTCGAAGAAGAAGAAAGAAGAGCATAAAGTATGAATTTTCTATTTGTACAAAACTATATTAATAATTAAAATTATAACAGCAAATAAAAAAAGCTTTGATTGATCCAAACTCAAACAGTTGTTACTTTTAGCTGATGAGCTCCATTGGGTTGAATCTGCAAACTCCGGAGTTGACAACTACCACCAGATCTCCTCTTCCAAAGATTCTCCGCCGCTTTATCTCCGGCGCCACCGTCGTGTGTCTTTTTAACCACCGGCAAAGGTGGGTCCAATTCAGCAACGTCGATAACAGCAATCTTTTTGTTACCAAACTCGTCCTTTCTGATTCTTCCTCGACTAGTTCTGGTTGTGGTGGTAGTGGGAGCGGAGAAAGACAGATTCTTGCCGGAGAAGAGACGTTTAAGCTTGAAGTAACGGTGGTGAGAGGCGGGGGTGATGGAGGTGGAAGTGGTGGTGGGGAAGCCGACGATCTTGTTGCTACGTTTGACCTGACCAATGCAGCTGATTTTGGGAGACAAAGGATCGGCTTGTTGGTGTGAGTCTTCTTGATGTGATTTAGCCGGAAGGGTCACGTTCTTGATGGAAGGTCTTGAACATAACATTGGTAAGAAAGTTGGTCTTTGGAACTGAACACTGTTTTGTCTCGTCTCCATCATCTTGATCTTCTTCTTGATTACTCTTAAGAGACAAGAGAGATGAAAGTTCTTGATTACGATACACAAAGGACTTAGTTTCTCATGTGTGAGAGAGAAGAGAGAAGAGAGAGAAATAGGAGAGTTTGGGTTTGTGGTAGTTGGAGAGTTAGAAACTTTGATGGTTAAAATAAGGAGATATAGAGAGGCTTTGGTCAAAGTGGCTTTATCATTAGAGGAGACATGTCAATTTTGGGTTTCACGTTCACAATCACTTTCAGATTTCTTTCCAGAATATTGGCTTCTTCCCAATCTGGTAAATTATATTTCTTCTCTATTTTTTTAAAAATATTATCTCTTAAGGAATATCTGCTTTTTTAATAATTGAGATTTGCTATTGGCTTGTAGGTGGGATATGTGGATGTCGGAATCCGCAATACAAATTTTAAGATGTGTATCGGGTCGTCTAGCCTTGATAATTCGAATAACAATCGAGAAAAAGAAAACAAAAGAGTGAAGTGTATGTATCTGTATATTGCTCAAGAATTCGGTCCCCCAATACAATGATCTACGTCTCCTATTTATAATTACATTGTCGAAATCCGTTATCATCAATTTAGCCGCGAATCACGCCCTTATTATTATTTCCGTTTCGTATCTTCTTGAATCTGCGAATTCCGTGAGACCCGCACTCTATTTACTTCGCAGATTCCGACGTTACATTCAAGCTGGGTTGGAAACTAAATGGGCTTTTCACCTTGTCATATGGGCTAGCTTTGACGGCCCACTTCGTTTCCTGGATCCTAGCCTTTCAGGATCCGAATTGCGGGATCCGACACCAACAGTTTGCCCCCCAAGTGTTCCGAAGTATATACTTCGGGATACTTATGATATTGAAAATCTTGTAACAAAGGGAATTCGACATAAATGCCACCAATCCCGGGATTTCTCCGTGTCCGAGATGACGTTACAAGATCCTAGGGTTTTCACTTTTCCCGCGAAACGAGAGATTCTCCTCGGGAACGAGGCGACGCTTCAAGATCCTAGGGTTTCCGTTTTGCCGCCCAACCGTTCTATATATTAAGCTGGACCCTTCGGGTTCTGTACTTCGCCTTCAATACCCACGATCGACTTCTGCCCTTCGTTTATTTAAAGGTACTCTTCTTCTCCTTACTCCTAAATTCTCCGATTAGTTTCGTTTTTGTTTTGAACTCTTGAATCCGATCAGACTTTTAGGAGTAGATTACTCTTAGCATCTGCTTTCCGCTAGGTTTAGGCCATAGATCTGAAGATCTTTTAGATTTTCAGCCGTTAGGTGTGAAGAAACTTCCGTCAATTGCCGTTCCTCCGCCGTACTCTTTTGAATTCCGGTGGTTCTCCTCCGTCTTCTGAAGAATACTCTCCGTCAGGATCTTCATCTCCTGGGTTTTCGGCGAAGATCTTCATAAGTGTTCTTGAGGGTTTCTCGATTTATTTCTTGCCAGATCTTCTTTCATCCTTTAGAACTTTCAATTTCGTGTTATGGCTCCGAAGAAGAGTAAAAAGGTCCGAAATGAATCTTTCATCATTGAAGGTGAGTTCGGGAAATACTTTTCCTCGGAACTCGATGACAGGAAACTAGCTTTGATGAAAGGCGGCTGCGGTATCCCTCGACAAGTTAAACTGATAGCTCCGGAGCCCAGAGAGTCTCCTGAATCTCCTCCTACTGGTCACTGTTGCGCCTTCGAAATATTCTTTTCGGAGTGCGGTCTTTCCTTTCCTTTACCGGGACTTCTGGTAGAACTTATGCACGAACTGGGGATCGCTTTGCCTCAGCTTTGCCCGAACGTAGTTCGGATTGTACTATGCCTCCAGACTCTTGCAGAGGAGAATGGATACCGGATTACGCTATCCGACGTCTTTCATCTCTACACAATGAAGAAAGGGCGAACTCCGGGTACCTTCTTCCTTAGCCCGAGGAGTCATTTCAGGGTCTTCGGAGACTTCCCTGAAAAAGATGAAAAGTGGAGGAAATCGTATTTCTTCTTTCCTGTTGACGAGTTCACCTATGGTCCGAATACAGGATTTTTTGTTCGGGACTGGACACGTCGTCCTGGTTAGATGGTTTTTAGGGATTTATTGCATATTTTCATTTTTTGACTTCGCTCTTCGGTAAACTAATCCTTTCTGTTTTGCAGTTAAACTTCCGAAGACACGGGTCTCCCATACCTTTGCAGAACAGTTCATCAGGATCTGCAATCAAAGTGACCTAGCGTGGGAACTTTTCACCTGTGAACGAATTCGGAACTCGTGTTCCCGTATCTACAGTCGCTCCTACCTTATTACCTCTTCTCCACCTCACACCTCTCCCACAATCGATAGAAACATGTCTCCAGTCTCCTACCGTGAAGAGAAGAGGCTCCAAAAAGAGAGGGAAAAGGTCAGGGAGGCAAGAGAGAAGGAAGATAAGGCCAGAATGGTGAAGGCCTTGGAAGAGGGAAAGTCCAGATCCGCATCTGGCAAAGGAAAAGCTTCCGGCTCTGTTGCGCCGGCATCTGAATCGAAGACTTCTGATCATCGAGATCGAGTGAAGGAGTCTTCTAGTAAAGAGATAGTCCGAGTTTCGGATTCCCGTTCTTCCCGATCATCTCGGGAAAAAGAGTATTCTGATGGAGGACCAACTGCAACTTCCTCGAGGAAACGCAAGAGCGAGGACTCAGATGTTCTTCCTCTACATCGCAAAAGTCGTTCTCACACGAGTGTTGATGTGACTCCTTCTGAAGACGCCGGGACCACTAGCCAAGGCGCTAAAGACATTTCTCAGGGGATTCCGCTGTCCGAACCTCCCGTTCAAGTCATAGTCTTGCCTTCGCGAGATTCAGAGAATCGGGAGTCTGGTCGTCAAGAAATCCCTATTCCAACAGGTAATCCTACATTGTTTTTCGATTCTTTCTGCAAAGTTCGAATCATTCATGTTGATTCTCTATAAAACTTTCAATTAGTTCCTCCGAAGTCTCCAGCTGATTTCATGAGGAACTTCACTCCGGCTGGGATGAGAATCCCGGCCTTCAGCGAGCTAAAGGAAGTCAACAGGGCGAATTACTTTCGCTTTGCCGACAAACTTGGAGAGGTACCTTCTTAAATTCTTACTTCAGCTCGTTTTGCTTGAACTAACGATTTCTTTTCATTCTGACAGATTATGCTCGAATACAACACCACCTTTTCCTGTCATGAAAGCCAGCTCTTCCCCGTGAACGAGCTTGATAGTCTTAGGACTCGAGTTGTCGAACTCGAAGAGGAGATCCGTCAAATGAAAGAGATGGAGGAAGAGAATGCCAAAGCTGTGGCGAAAGCAAACGAGATCCGGGAGCGGATGTTGGAGGCCGAAGCTCGTTGTAACCATCTTGATGTGGTTAACACGGATCTGTCAGTAAAACTGAAGACTGGAAAGAACATGTACCTTGAGGCATGTGACAAGATTACTTCGTTGGAGGCCGAAGCCAAGCGAAGTGAGGAATGGTGCAAGGTTGTTGCGGAAAAAAGGGACGAGGAACTCGCAGCAGCAAGGAAGGATGAGCGAAGGAAACTCCGAGAACACTACAGTGGTTTGATCTCAAAACACGAGACTTACCTGAAAGCCCTGAGTGAAAATAAGTCAATAAGCAACCGAGCTGCGGAGACCAGAGCAAATCGGGAGCTTCTTGAGGAGCTTAAGAGGGGCGAAATCCCGGACATTGATGCCGAGCTGGAATCCGTGAAGAAAGACGAAGCGGACGCGGAAGCTAAGGTCAACAAGATGAACGCTCTCAAACCTCGCCCTGATGAGTTTGCTCATCTCTTTGTTGCCACTCCTCCCGAATCGGCGCCCGAAGATCCTTATACCGAGGAGGAACTTGCCATCGATGAGTTCGGCTCCAACAAAAATCTCATGTCCGAGCTCAAGACAGACCAGGAGTTGGAGGAAAAGCCAAAGCAGGATCCTGAAGCCTAAAGGTCCTTGATTTGATTTCCGGGGTTGTTATGGCTTAAATGGCCCCCCTCTTGTTTTTAATATGAACCTTTTGCTTTTTGCTTCCCGTACCTTTTGGATTTTTTTTTAAAAACTTAAGCTCTTTCCTTTCCGAAAATCTTTTTTGCAAACATATGTCGAAGCTTTCGAAAATTTTATATGAACCCGGAGTTCATAAAGGAAAATAGTCTTAGGAAAACAAAAATACATTTGAAGTATTTTCGGCTTTCAAGAATTATGATACGAGATTTGGATATCGAAATCCGAATTGAACTGTGTTGAACCAGATATTCTTTAAAGTAATTATACTTTTAAGGACTCGTCTATCCGAGCACTGAGCTCGGATTTGAGAGATAAAGATTCATCTATCCGAGCACTGAGCTCGGATTTGAAAGAAATCTTAAATAGTTGCGAGATGGATATCGGCTTGCGAAGAGCGAATTACGAGAATATTCTCGGTTTACGAATTGCGAGATAGATATCGGCTTTGATTATTAGAACTGTTTAATCAATGTAAATATTTTATTGATTTTAGAGACTGCACTCGAAGTTCGAGCTGCCTACGTACCCAGAGGTGGGGATCAAGTCTATCGTAGTTCGATTTACAATAATGAAAATAATACTTAAATAAAGAATCTCTTCAGATGAATGGAATTCCAAGCTCTTCGGACTGCTTTTCCTTCCATGTTTTCAAGGCGATAAACTCCATTGCGAACTACCTGAGTGATTCGATAAGGGCCTTCCCAGTTGACGCCTAACTTTCCTGCTCCATCTTCGGCTGTATTTTGCTGAACTTTGCGTAACACTAATGTCCCAACATCGAAGTGTCGATTTCTAACGTTCGAATTGTAGTATCGTGCCGCGGCATTCTGGTAGTTTTGCATCCGAATTAACGAACGATCACGTCGCTCTTCGATTGTATCAATCACGTCAACCATCTGTTCATTATTTGCAGCCTCGTTCTGTGGATTGTACATCCTTCTCGGACTTGGCACAAATATTTCAGCGGGAATTACGGCTTCCATTCCATACACTAATGAAAAAGGCGTTTCCCCGGTTGCTCGTCTGGGGGTAGTGCGAATTGCCC